AGGGTCAGACAGCAGCCAATCAGAGAGAGAGACAGGGTCAGACAGCAACCAATCAGAGAGAGAGACAGGGTCAGACAGCAACCAATCAGAGAGAGAGACAGGGTCAGACAGCAGTCAATCAGAGAGAGAGACAGGGTCAGACAGCAGCCAATCAGAGAGACAGGGTCAGACAGCAGCCAATCAGAGAGAGAGACAGGGTCAGACAGCAACCAATCAGAGAGAGAGACAGGGTCAGACAGCAGCCCATCAGGGAGAGTTGGAAGTTGTTTGTGTTTGTTTACCGGGCCTCAGACAGGGAGTTGTTGTTTTTTGTTCACCTGTCCTCAAATAGTAAGTTGTTTGTTTGTTTTTTAACCTGGCCTCAGACACGAACTTGTTTATTTTTGTTTACCTGGCCTCAGACAGGAAGCGGATCTTTAGCTCTGGAGGTAAATCTTCTTTACAAGTTTTAACAGCGACTGGAGTTTTGTCGCGCAGCAAGGTTCCTTTGAAGACCTCACCAAAGTTACCCTGACAACAAAGAGGCAAACGGTACAACGGGACACAGAGAGAAACAAGTGAAATATTTGAAACTGACTTCATGAGAAAACAGGAAATGAGGTCACCTTTCCAAGCAGCTCGCCTAGCACCACATCCTCATGGTTCAAGATCCATTTCTTGTCCTGAGGAGAAATATCAGCATTTCAGAGGTTGTTTTTAGCAACACGTGTGTGTTTGCATGCAACACATGCAGTTACCTTGACAACAGGGTTGAGCAGCACAACCCCAGACTTCTTGGTGATGACCTGTTTGGTGGAGAAGTGATGCTCAATAAGCTGAGGGATGGTCGAGAAGCCTGTCCCCTCAAAACGGAACTGATTCTACACAACAAAAAAGAAGGAGATACTTTTCAGTTTAATGGACTGACAGATGTTGCCCCCTCTGGTTAGACGGTTAGTTAACAGATAGGTGTGTGTTGTACACGTGTTGTGCACCTGTCGGGTGTGAATACGTACATCGGCATATTGGATGATAAAGTGCCGTCTCTGGTCGTCAGAAAACACTGACAGGACGTACTCGCCCGGTTTACCGTGACTCTCCCTGACCAGGAAGTCTCCTTGTTGCCGTAGTAACTCCTGAGCCTCAGTGCGGGGAATGGCACCGTGGTACCACTCCTGCTCCGCAAGGGGGCGTTCTGATGTAGGAATGACCTCAAAAAACTGCTGCTGGGTTAGAGGAAAATAGGAACTGAGGTTACCAATAGCTCACCTCCATTTTGTTTCAATTTATCTTTATTGTCCAAATTATTAAAAAAAAATTTAACAGTTCAGGGTCTGAAATGTGACAGAACATGACTGAGTCCGTTTGTGCCTGGTCCCAGAATGTTTCTGATGAACGTCAGACCCTATCAGACTAGGAATGTACAATATACATGGTAGAAACGATAGACATTTAGCCTATGATAGAGATCTGTATTCTACCGGCTAACCGCAGTAATGCTGTCTGATGTAAAAATCAGAGTTGTCAGATTTAATCGTTACTTTTTTTAGTTTAAAACTGTGCGTAAAATGGCGTTAAAGTTTGATTTCTTTGAGAGCTACGAAGCGAAGCTACAAGTTAACTACGTACAAGCTAACTACGTACAAGCTAACTATGGCCGGCTTGCCGTATTGTTGCTGTATTGGGACGCATGCGCAAAATGATGTGTTCCGTCGAAAGCTAAATTAAGCATTGGTCAGCTTTAGACAGTGCATTTGTGCTAAAAAAAAAGGGTTAAACTGGCTCTATGATCTATGAAAAGAACGCTGTGTTGTGTGATGTTACTGCGAGACCCTCTGGTCAAAGCCACAGAGGAAACTGGTCACCATTTTGTGTCAGCTCTCCTTAAAGCAGAAGGAGACGCCCACTAGAGAGTTGGAGGGTGAAGTGTTTTCAGAGTAAAATGCTGCTCTGTTGCTGTTCATTTCTTAATTGAGAAGACTGGAAACTGTTACAGAGTTAACATATTCTTTAGTTTAAAACATATGGCTAAAACTACATTTGATGTATTTTACATTGTTTTTCACTACAAGAAGGAGCCTAATACTTGATTTGTTAATTATTTTAAAACTCTCTGGACCTAGTAGTGGAATCTTCTTAATTGAGATTATTTATTGGTATAGCAGTTTTCAAAATAAATGATGGCAAAAGGACACCCTATGCTTTTTTCATTCCTATTGCAAGTTTTATACCAAAAACATATCATGATATATATTGTTATCGCCAACCATCACAATACATATCGTGATATGAATTTTATGCCATATCGCACATCCCTATATCAGACATCTTACGACATCCAATGTCATCAGATGTCATTGGTCGTCATCAGACATTATCAGAGATCATCCAGGACCAGGGTTTTAGACTTATCTTCTGCGGTAAGAGCTGTACCAACAATGACCTCACCGAAGTAGATGAGCCCACCATGGCTTTAGGAGCTCGGATCATTCCAGCCAGAGAGTGACGCAGGGTATCAAATCGAGAGGTCTTCTCTTTTGTCTTGTCCTGCAGTGAAAAACAAAAAACCCAACTCCCGTTTCCAAAAACAGAACATCAACAGCCGAATGTCTGAAACAGTTCGACTTACAGCCGATCCAATGGATCGGGTGTCGTCCTCATATTGAAGTGCCTGGAAAGCTGGCGGTGGTGGAGAAGCTACTGCCGCAGCCATCTTAGCATCCAGCAGAGCCTTCTGAGATAAAAGGCGAGCCTCAGAGCTGCGCAGTGATTGGACAGTATGACGAAGCTCGAGAAGGGACAGTTTTTGACGGAGCAGCAGGACACAGCTGGACAGAGTGAGATAAACCAATAAGCAGTGAAAACACAAGAGAGACAGCTGCTGCCTCCGCCTCCTGGAACTCACTCGCTCCTCTTCTCCACACTCTGCTGACCCGTCTGGATTCTGGACTCCAGGTCATCAGCTAAGTCTTCCTTTAACTTCAGGTTCTGCTGAGTCAGTGCCAGCTCTACTGTGGTCGACGACAACCTGACAAACAAACTCATTCAGTAAATGACTTTCTGAATATGACAACAGAGGACCTTTAATTTGAAAGGCTGCAGAAGACAGTTTTATTTTGCAGGCGCTTACGTGGCCTGAAGGCTTTCAGCCGTTAGGGTGTTCCACATGATCTCATTAGCTGGGATGTTGTCCGTGTCCTCCAAGAGGGATGCATCAAAATCCACGTTTGCCTCTGGCATCTCTGGAGTCCTGATGGAGGGAGAGACAGACAGTCACCATGGCTACCAAGCCGTCACCACGGCAACCAGTGTCTGACTGACCTGTAAGCATCAATAAAGTGTTGGTACTCTGTAAGCGGGTCGATCTGCTGAACCGCCGCTGAAATCTCTTGATGGACTAAAACTACCTCCTCTGTCAGCAGGCTGCTGATCTCACAATACTCCTCCACGATACTTTTACTGCAGAAGTATAAAGAACAGAATACTTTTACTGCAGAAGTACACAGAACAGAATACTTTTACTACAGGAGTACACAGAACAGAATACTTTAACTACAGGAGTACACAGAACAGAA